TTTGTGCTTTCTGAGCTCTTAATTCTCTCCTCCTGTGGTTCCTTCTCTGGGAACGCGTCAGTGGAGCATGCTTAGAAGAAGAGTCAATTTCAAATGCATAGTTCGGAGTGGCAAAATCATTTGTTGAATCATCTTCATACAAAATTCCTTTTCCTTTCGTAGTTGGAATAGCTAGTGCAGTGAGAATGGAATTGATTTTCACCTTCTTGAGAGAAGGAAAATCACAGTCACCATTTAGATTGAATCCAGAGGACGGTTCTTGAACATCTGAAGCAGTCATTTTCGTTATCACATGAGGTGATTTTCCAAGTAACACCTCAAATTTTTCGAGTCCGGACAAATTGGATTGTGGAAGCAATGTGATGAGAATTTATATCTGTGATTACGTTGAACAGGAAATTCAAGCTTGGTGACGCCATTACTTCTGTCAATTGTAGATTTCTAAGGTCATTACTGGAGTCGAGCGAGGTTTCTATCGAGCGGGGGAGTCTTCAGTCGAGCGCGAGCAGAGAGGTGAGGGTCTCTGTCGAGCGAGATCGAGTAGAGAAAAAGAGAGGGAGAGCCGAATTGCAGGAGCTGGAGATTGGCGAGCGAATGGAGATGAGCAGGAGCTCAGGATAGGCAGAGGAAGCAGACTGCGAAGGAAGAAGCGATCCCTTCCTTTTAGAATTGGAGCGGGGTCAATAGTCGTTACTCTGGAAGCAATTGGCGGGGAAATTATTGAATTCCAAAAGCAGGGGAGGATTAAATGGAAAACATTAAGACCTAGATAATTTTAATTAAGACAAAATTTAAATAATCCATTTGAATTTTGAAATTTAAATTTCAAATTCAGGTGAGCTGGTAGTTAGTCCGAGTCCAGCCTGAATCAAACCCGAGTCTAATCTAGGTTGAGCCCGGGCCCGCGCATCGGTAATAAAAAAAATGTGTATCGATATCCGTGCTAATTGCTTGCACGCGAAATCATAAAAATATGGGTGTCCTTCCTAGCTAAAATCGACGTCCCGGACGCGTCCGTGTGGTCTGTTTCGTCACCTGGGGTCGTCCGGATGAGTTCGCCGGCGGGCGAGTTAATTTAAGCCAAAATCAAGCGGTGTGCGATGCGTGCGCAAAATATGGGGTTATCGAGCGTTTGGGTCGCAAATGGGTTCCCTAGGGGCTGGTCCTATTAATGTAGGAACTCGACTCGAGTTTCATGTGCCGATCTTAATCAACTCAACGGGATGCCGAGGATTTGGGACCGCCCATGCGAAACTCGAAGGAGTGACGGGGTGGCTCGAATTTTCTAAATGGTGTGGGTTCCGTACTAGTCCTCTATGAGGGTCAATAAGAGAAGCCTAAAGCTAGACCCTAGGCTCTAAGGAGAGACATGAAAACCTCATCCGAAAATGAGGTCAACATGCATATATATGGTGAAGCTATTAAAAATACTTATAAGGTAACCAAATAGTTTGAAGTTGAAATTCATCATGAATTTGTGTTGCTGTTTCAAAAGTAATTTTATATGTGGCTTTTATGCTTTACTGTGCTGTGCCACAAAGCATGGCAATTTGCATCCTTCATTTTCTTTGTGTTGTAATATGCGGAACACATTTCACACTGATAATGTGTGAGCATAGTCGTGAATTGTTTCTTTCAATGTTTCTTCAAGGAGTTTAGGATTCATCTAAAGATGGTTTATCTTCTATATCCCCAATTCATTGCTATTTACAGACTTTGCAATTCATCCTCTTTTGTACTATAGAACTCTCATTTATTCTCTATATTTATGCCATGCCAAATGTGAAGCCTCTTTTTGATTGATTGCATTCTCATGTGCACAACATAAGATGTGAGATGCCAGCTGAATTCATTCTCAGATGAATAGCAGGGACTTAATTAACTTCATGCAGATGCGACTCTCAATTGCAAGCCGTGTCATTCTTTCTTTACTTTCCATCCTTTCGTTCTTTCAAGTTGTGTATGTAATCTTTGGTGCTAAATCTTACTTAGATTTATACTTATTTTTTATGCTCTTCCGTACAATAGGAAAATATCTTTCGCAGAAGCGTACAAATCTTTTTGATACAAATAATATGACTTAAGCATCTTTCTTGTATTAAACTTTTCACACGATTTTTTACTTAAATGGTACTCATAAAATATCTCATTAGGAAAGACCGTAGGCCATGGATCCCACTAATGGAATTGAGGATCAAAATGATTGCTTGTTTGTAATAGTTTTCCTTGTTAATATTTGACTTAATGTTTTAGATTATTTTAGTCTTATTTTGTAGGAAGTTTTTTTAGTAGAATAATACTATTTAAAACATTTCTATGATGTAAGAGCTTCAATTAATTGTGGCATACTTTTATTTGCACTTTAGGCTTCAAGGTGAAAAAAAATCTCTTTATGTGGTGCATTGTTCATTTTGTGTTGTCAGCCATCGACTCAAGATATGTTTTAGAAGAATTTTCAAAGTGAGGTATTTTGTTGTTTACTATATTCAAATGCGGCAAGTCCAATTGACGAGTCATATTTTGAAATAAGTGAATAATTCAAATTATGGAGAAAATATTTATAAGTGAATAGTTCAAATTATGGAGAAAATATTTATATGACGAATGATTTAAACAGAATCAAAGATCAAATGTATGATATGCAATTTTATTTGATGTAATATTTAATCATCATTAGTTGATATTACTAAATGTTGAAGTGATTTGTAATTAAAATTGTCAGATGGGTGGATATCTTGGTTATACTACATATAAGAGTAGGGACAGATGAAAATGTACTTCCAGAGTTTAAATTCCTAAGCTTAAGCATTTTTTTTATGAGCACTTTGTTTCAAGGAATATCATGGATTTATAAAATTGCAATGTCGTATGAGTTTGTGTGTTTGGTGTTGAGGTTGATGTTTATATATAAGTTGATTGTTACAAAAATGAGATATTTCAGGCATTTGTTTGAAGAAAATCGAGCTGGATTACGCCATTTTAGGCAACTAAAAACAACAGGAGGGTAGATTGGGGAATATTTATTTTATAATGTTATGAGTAGAATTGTATGAAGAAATTATAGTAAAAATAGATTTAAATTTTAAACTTGTCCAGGTGAAAACAACGGATGTGCCAACAAATTGGTAAATTGATATCGAGGCATAGAAAGGGAAAGGTATAGACCAGTGATAGCATTGAAATAAGTTGTAAAATAATTTGTTTAAAATATTTTTAGCGCTTCATGCATCATTGGACGGGAACAGATGGAGACTAGTGATGCATACGGCAGAACCCAGATTGTTGGGAAAAACGCTAATATTGATGTTGTTGAATGATTTAGCAAGGCTAGCTTGGTTTTCATAGGGGATACCTGATTTTGTTTGCAACTTTTATTATTGTTCTATTTTTTTTTTATTCGCTTCATTTCATTGCTACATTCACATTTTTATTAATGTACAATATTTTATTTTTATCATCTATATGAAGTTTTATCAAGCCTGACTATTTTGAATGGTATTTAATATGGAAAAGGTAATAGATTTGATAGATCTAGCAATGATTTGTTAAGGCAGGGTTTGCTAAATTTAATTTATTTCTATTGGATCACCATATTATTTAGGGAATTTAGTCATGCATTCTTTCACGTCACTAAAATTTCTTAAGTGATATCTGGCTAAGTGTATTATCAGTTTGCTGCATTTGAAATGCAGATTTCTTAAAATTTTAAGTTTGTTGTAAAAGAAATCTGAATTACTTTTCTAAATAATTATGAATAACTCTCGTAGTTTATTTTTGGTAAATTTAGAATTTACCTACATCATATGAATTCCAAATTCATCATGCTTGCTTATGAAATATGCTCAACTTCACCATATTGCAAAGCAAGTTTGCAATATGACATTCCCCGTCCTTGTGATCGCGACATACGCCTCTCTTGTGAATGCATCCTTGGGCTATATTGTGATTGTGTTATCAATGCTCAATGTGCAATGTGATGTGCCAGAATTTATTTTTGCTTCAAAGTATGACTTAAAAGTTGATATATTATATATATACATTCATTAACAAATTTAAAATATAAAGTATGACTTACAAGTTGATATAAAATAAGAAAATATGTGGTCACAATACTCAACTTGAAAGTAAACATCGAGGCTGAACCTACAAATTAAAATTTAGAATAGTTTCTAATAGTTTAATACAATAATTAAGAACTTAAAAATTGCCAAAAAAAACTTAACAAATTAACTTCAATGCTTCAGGCTTGCTTCAACGTAGCAAAGCAGGTGTCACATGTTTTACTTCGCTTTACTCTTGAAGTGCGCTTTTAAAAACATTTCTCATGATTTCCTGAGCTTACCACCTCATGTTCATATTTGCTTCCCACATCCTTTGGTAGCCCACCACCCCCACATCCTTCCTCACTACTTGTGACCTTTGCTTGCAGTTGATGGCTTTCTCGCAACCTCCGATTCTCTCACCATCATAGTTTTTTCATGCCCTGGATTGGTTTTAAAAATGAAAAATTGGATTAGTTTTATTTCAAGCCAAAGATCAAAATGTAAGTTCGTGAATTTGTTTATCCAATCAATGAATTGTGAGTGATCTAAATATGATGTATTTACTTTACACTTCTTTTAAAGTACACTTGATTTTTAAATACCTTTAATCAGACAACTCTTATGTATCATTTTATAAAGGAGAAAGAAAAGTTTAAAATTGATCCCTAAACATTGATTTTCTTTAAATTGTCATTTTAATAATTTGTGAATAGCTTATTTTGCCAAATCATGTAGGCAGCGTTTAATAGCATGTTTTGTCAGCTTATTGAATCATACCAAGATTGCTGGGCACTTTTATTGGTGTCATGTTTTATTAAGTGAACATTTTATAGAGAATTATCTGCCAAAGTTTGAAATTGGGTTCGAGTTGCTGTGTATTGAGTTTCTTAGGAATTTTATTGGGATCTCTAGTCCTGTTAATTTTGCTCTCTTATTCATGTTTCCATCACTATACAGGTCTTCAGCGGAATTTGGTCAAATGAAACTACAAACTTGGAAATTGGGCTCGAGTTGCTGCGAGCTATTAAAGAAGAGCTACATCTTTGTGTTAGTCGAATTAGTCTGGATTTTCTTCTAAGTACCTGTGTAAAAGCTAAGGATGCACTGCGTGCCCAGCTGGTTTGGTCTGAATATGAAGTTGCTGGACTTCCATACAACATCTTAACTTTTTTGAGGTTTGCATTTAGTTTAACATTACGGTTAATTTACATAATATTCTTTTTTTTAGCTTAGTGCACATGATTAGATGATTAAATGGAGAGGTAAAAACTGATATTTTGCCTTCCGGCTTCTAAATCTTTCATACCTAACATTTATCACGGAGTTTTAAATCCAAGCACATGGAAAATTAGCTGCTGTTTTCACTTTCTGTAATTTACATGGCTGTCATTTGTTTGAATGTAACAACTTTAACTTCCATGTTGTTATTCCCAAGCAAGATTTTATTTTTAATTTATATGGAAGTGCCTTTGACCAACATGCCAACTTGGGAATATCCATGTAGTAGAATTATTAACCTAATTATTAGGCTAACTACTACTGGAATTATTAGTAACTTCTATTTTATTTTCCGTTTCTGTATTTATGTCTTTTCTTTTATTTGGGTCTTGTACTATGCATTTATAACCGATTTCCTATTAATGAAAGTATCTTGCTTTATACTAAAAGTTATCATGGTATTAGAGACATGGTTTGAACCTTAGAGTTTCTGCCCTAGCTGTCGGCCGCATGCACTTTTGTTTCTGCAGGTTTTCTGCAGCGGTTTGTTGTTCCTCTCATTCAGCGGTACTTTCTCTCTCCAGTGCAAATCCCGCCCACAAACAAAATTTTTCAGTGTGTCTTTTTTTTTTCTAGCGTTGTTTGTTCTGTCGGATCTCAAACCTTCTGGTTCGTGGAATTCTCCAAGGTTCACCACTCATTCTTTTGTTTTCCTCCCGCTGCCGGCCCTTTCTTCTGCAGCTGGAATCCTTCTATGTCTCAGCAACCCAACATCATCTTCAACTTCGTAGGTATCATGGAGGGTTCCACCACCCAGCCCCCTCCTAACAGTGTGCTTAAGTCCACCGAAGGATCGACATCGACCTCAATCCCTCCGCAAACCGGAGGATTGTAAAATCACATAAACTTCCTAATAACTACCCATAAATTCAACTGTTCTAGTTTTCTTCAATTGTCCTAAGCCATGTCCTTGTTCGTCAAGGGATGTAGGAAATTTAGTTATTTTACATGTATGATTCGTGAACCTCCAAAAACTGACCTGACGTATGGTGCGTGAGAGTGGAGAATTTCATGATCATGTCATGACTGATTAACTCAATGAAAACTACGATTGATTGTTCGTATGTATTTTTTTCTTCTGTCGATGCCCTATGGACAGCAATTTGGGATATACTATTTTTGGATTTAGGCTTACAAAAAAATTTGCGAGGCGAAACTGGGGTTGAGGACCATGACCCAGTGCTACAATGATTTGGTGGCCTTATGGACGGAATGCGATCTCTACTATGACTATACGTAGGACTCTCTGACAGACCTTTCCCTCTTTTAGGAAACTATAGAAAAGAATTGCATGTTCCAATTTATGTCGGGCCTTAACAATGACCTTGATGAAGCTCGAGGTCATATTCTTGGTTAGGATTCTCTGTCTTCCGCTCGCGCTGCATTGATAGAGATTCGACACGAAGAGAGTCGGAGACTTGTCATGCTCGATACTTCCAATTTAGTCGAATTATCTTTCTTGTTCACTAATAATACTCAACACTCGTCCATGCCAACTCGAGCCACTAATTCCACTTGTGACTACTATCACAAACTCAACCATATTTGTGACAAGCGTTGGAAACTTCATAGTGAACTGACATACAAACCTTCAGCCAAATTTTCTCTGTCAAGGGTTTCACTATGACATCTGAATCTATTACGGCACAACCAACTTCGATTCGGAACACTCCAGAATCATCAGACTCTCTTAAGATTTAGATGAAGCAATTAATCATGTTGCTTGGATCCAATTAACTCTCTTCCGACCCTTCTACCTTCCACGTCTGTCAATGTACCATTTCTATGACGTTACCTCTTTTTTCTGTACTAGTCTATAGATCATTGATTCAAGTGCCACAAACCACATGACTGGATGTTCTTAAGCTTTCTCGACATATTATCCATGCTTTCAGAAAGATATGGTAAAAATTGTTGAATTCTATAATTCCATTGTTGGTAAAGGGTCGATTATGTTAACAGTCGGTCTAATTTTGGAATTTATGTTACATGTACCTCTGTTGAAGTGTAACATTTTTTATCTGCCAGCATGCTAACAAATGACGTTGATTGCGTTTATTTTTCTATTGATGTTTGTGTCTTTCAGCATCGTCATTCAGGGAAGATAATTGGAACTTCTAAGAGAGTAGCTGGGCTCTACATCTTTCAAGAAAAATGCACGAAGAACGATGTGTTTTCGAGTAGTTGCAATTTTTCTAGATTCAGTGAATGTCCTATTGTCACGACCCAATTCGAAACTTGGAATTAGCCATGGTGAGAATAAACGGTTGGATGATAGGGAACTAAATTTTCTATATTATTCTAAAATTTAATAGATGAAAGTTACTAATCAAATAAATTAAAACAATATATTTGAAACTACCTCTTTACTGGTTATTCGTGTATTCTATAAACATTATCTACGCTCATCGTTAATCACTTAAATAAACTTGAAAATATTAATTTAAAAACATCATTGAGCTAAACAATATCAGTAAATACTCATACTTAAAAACTACAATAATGCAAGAGGAAAGTAAACATGTATGTCAGTCATGCTTTTAATAAATCAATAGAAACATTTAATGTTATGCAAAGAATCTTACAATTTTAATAGCATATCAATATCATTATATGTCTATACAACCATCACAAAAGTATCGTTTAGAAATTGTTTTAAATATAACACATTAATATCAATATTATTTTTTATATACATGTATGTGTACATTAGTATTCTCTCACTAGTAACAATAAATGTGACTTCATCATAGTTACTCATGTACATACAAACAATCAACATAATTATATCATTAATGTGCTCATCACATTCAATTATATAGTATATAACATACATCAATGCATGATATTAAGTAGCTACAGGCATTCCTAGCAATGTGACTAGTTAAGGAAAATATATAAATTAATTAAAGTTGTACAAATATTATTTACTAATGCATAAAAATTGAGAAGAATCAAAATATTACTATAGATTAAAAATTCAAGTACTCACCTCGATGATTGATGATTTGCTTGCTCTTAAATTTAATTACTTCTATCAAATTATCCCCTATAAAATATAAAATATTCAATTACCGCTTTACTTAATTATGTTTTAACTTAATTTTGAATTCATGTCATATTACACTAATTTAATTAATATTTCAATACTTTAAACTTTATGTTTAATTATTGTAATTAAAATTTATATTAAATATTATTAATTCTACAAAAATATGAGTAGAATTAAGATATTAATATTTCTTTAGTGCTTGAATCAAATACACTTAAGTTTAATGTTTAAATAAAAAACTTATGTATAATATTATATTATATATATAATATATATTTTTTATACTACCTATAACGAAACTTACCTTTATCCTTTGCTCCCGCATGATATCTCTTGTCAACGAGTCCTCCTTCACAGAGCAGCGAACTTCTTCCCTCTCAAAATTAGCTCGGTTTTCTTTCTTCATCTAAGTCGCTTCTTTACACACAGGATCACAAGATCTCGCAGTCGGTCACCTTTGTCTTAACCCTCACGAACTTTCTTCTGCGTGATTTCGTCTGCACTAGAATCCCTCCTTTCCTCCCATCGATCACACGACACCAACAGCGGTCTTGTCGCTGCTCGGCACCAGGTAAGTCGATCTCACCTCTACATTCCTCAAGCACGTCCTCTTATAGGGCAAAAGTAACCTTTGATTTCCCAATTCCTCGCCTCATCTTCTTCCCTGTTCGATTCTTTGTTCCCTCTTCCTCTCTTCGGCTTCCTGACCTTCTGGTTTTATCTCCCTGTATTGTTCATTTACGCAACCCCTCCCTTTCTCTTCCTTGATCTTTGTTTCTCCCTTCCCTTGAGTAGCAAAATCGTTACAATCTTCCCCACTTATAAAATTTTCGTCCTCCAAATTTATAAATAACCATCAAACAAGTCAACATTAGTTATCCTTGAAACTAGGGTCATTCATGAAAAGCAATTACTATAAAGATAAATACTCAATACAAGACGACTTAACTATGTTTCAGATAACAATACACAGTTACTGAAGCAAGAAAGTATGCTAGGATATATATATATATGTTAAACTCATCAGACCTCATCGTCATTAGCAACAGTAGGTTCTTCAGGCTCACTATAAGGGAATATAATTGAGGTCGAACATGTTATCTTGGTTAATCTTGGGTCGAAGTTGAAGATATAAACTATTTTTTTCTGCTCACCTGCAGACTTTTGTGAAGTAGCTCCACCTGATTTCTGTTTTTCATTGCTCTTCTGGCCAAGAGATGGACAATATCTTCCTATATGACCATATTGACGGCACCAGTAGCAAATGTTAGAACCGTTATACTTATTATGTTGTTACATTATCGTTTGGGCATCCTAGCTTTTAATATTTAAACAATTGTATTCTTCTATATTTACTGATAAAAATCTTACTAGCTTCAAATTTGAGATTTGTCAATTAGTTAAACATCACCTTGGGGACCCTCTCGCACTCCCAACTACACTATTAAACGGTGATTTCTCATCTTAATTGATGACTACACTCGAATGATGTAGGTTTATATCTTAAAGATTAATCTAAAGCTGTTATCACCTTAAAAAACTTTCACTCCTTCATTTTGACACAATCCAAAACATCAATTCAAGTCTTCCGAATTGATAATGGTCGTGAATTTTTAATTCTATTTTAGGTGAATTCTTGGTAAGTGCATCCTACATCATAGCTCATGTATGAACACTCATAAAAAAATGGGATAGTTGAGAGAAAAAAACTGGCACATTCTCGAAGTAGCTCATTTCATTATGTTTCAATCTAATGTCCTGAAAATTTTTTGGAATGACGTTGTGTTTACTGTCACTTATCTCATCAACAAATTCTCTACAAAAATTCACAACTTCAAAACTCAA